AGTGTACAAGACCTCAGCGAGTCAGGAAAGCTCCTGTAGCTGCATCAAGTGGGAACAGTAATGTGATTGGTGTCTCCTCAGTCCAGATGGTGAATGAACATGGACAGGAGAAGACTGATTCCCAGAGTAAGAAGATCCTTGCGCATGTCCGAATTAAGAATAGTCCTATGCTCTTTGTGGTGGATTCTGGCTCATGCTGTACATTGATGTCATTGCATTCCTTCAACCGCATCCCATATCGGAGACGTCCAACTCTTAAACCTTCTAGGCCAGTTCTTTCACAAGCAGATGGCTCTAGGTTGGAGGTGTATGGGACAATCACTTGTGAAGCAGATGTAAATGGGAGACGGATGCCTTTAGAAGTTATAGTAGCAGATATAACTCATGATGGAATATTGGGTTCAGAGTTCCTCACTGCAAGCAAGGCAGTCATTGATTATGGCCGACTGGTAATCCAGTTTCCTGTGGAGCAGGAGAACTTCAGCTCAAAGAGAGATACTGGAGCAGACCAGGGACCAAGTAGCTCCAAGAAGAAGAGACAAAGGAAATCTCAAGGCAAGAGACAGAGAGCCAAACAGGAGAAAATAGCACAGAAGACTCAGGATGATAGTGATTCCATTAAGGTGATGGAGAAAATGGAAAAGGACTTTGTACCAAAGGCTGACAGTGTACAAGAGAGTATAGCATCCACGATTGAGTCTAGGAGTGTCAGAGAGTCTCGGAAGTCTGGGAGGAAGCTGAGTATCCAGAGAGATGCCAGTGCTCCTTCACTCTCTCATGAAGAGGATGTTTTAATGGTGGAGAACGTTGTTGTCCAGAAGACAGAACTCTACCAGTGGCCTCGTGAGAGAAGACAGTGCAAGACCAGATGGAAGGAGAGCCAGAGATACTGCACTCCAGCAAAAGACAACCAGAGAAGAAGAAATAGACCTCATTGGTATTGGAGAAGAGGAGCCGGGAGACCATGGAACATGGAGAGAGCTCCAGATCTACACTGGCGAGAACGAGATGACTGTACTCAAGTCAAGCCCGAGGAGTCATATTGTTCCAGTAGAGGACCTACGGATAGAGTTCCGAAGAGTAGCAAGTCTAATCAAGAGTGGAGGAAACAGACACAAGTTCCCCAAAATTCGCCAAGTAGACACTAGCTATGTCATTGATCGAGGGCGATCAATCCTGGGAGGGGGATGTGTGGCGAATTTTGTTTCCTCAGTGATTCTATTTTGTATAAACTATGTCAATTGAAGATGTATTATTTTATTTGTTGATTTTATGTATGACCAGTTTTGCCATTTTTTATATGTTGAGTCAGTCGACTCTTTCAGAGAGTTTGATGGCTCAAATGTGTACATGCAGAATGTCACGTAGGCACTGGGATGTTTACTGATCAGCAGACTGAAGTGGAATAAATTAGAATAATTAAGTACCCAGCAACCGGTGATCAGCCAATCAGATTCTTTTATTTGAATTTCCCTCCAACTTAAGTTGTAGTTTTCCCATGATGCAACTTGAGGTGTCTGGATTTTATTGTTTGCAATTAACCACGTGAATCAGAGTAAACCAAGATCTTGAAGATACAACACCTCGTCAGTTTGGATTTATTTATGTGCAAGCGTGTTTGATTTAATCTGTGAACTTATTGGAGCATTATTTTGGATATATTGGATTAGTTGCAGTAATCGTTAGATGCAGATTGTATTTGGTGCGACTATTGAAGAAAATACAAGACAACAGCCAGTGTTTTGGTGAGTTAGCCATTTTCTTGATTGTGGTTGGCATAAAATGGGTAATTAGCTGTCCGCCATCTTGCTTTCTTGTTCCCACAATTCCCGGCGGTCGGCCATCTTTGATTTTGAAGGAAGTGACGTCATTTTGAGAAGTTTTGAGCTCCAGATTCTCTGAGTAGATTTGGCTCTGTCTAATCTCATTTCTTTGATCGATATTCGTGAGTCATTCTGCTCTGAGTATTGGTGGCTCCTAGTCATTACCCCTCCAAGCTATAAATGCTCCTAATTTGTCGAGGCGATCTGACTCTCACCCAGGGTTGTATGTTGAGGAAGGTTTACTCTCATTGGAGCCAAAGTTACATTACCGGAACTGAGGTGCTCCAAGGCGAGAGATAACAGCTCTGTCTAATCTCATCCTTTGATCGACATTCTAGAGTTGTTATTCTCTACAGAGGTTGTAGTGAGGTTGCTCCTGCGAAGCGGTGACTCCGAGAGCAGAAGTTACTCTTTGGAGACAGTGTAGCTCATTGAGTGAGAGCACTCTTTGAGTAGAGGTTACTCCTGAGACGAGGCGATTCCCGGGGCTGAGGTACTCCCAGTGTGTGGATCTCGTTGGAGAGCAGAGGTTTCTCCTGAGAAGTGACGACTCCAAGAGCAGAGGATACTCCCGGAGCCTGGACCCCTTCCAAGAGACAGTGTAGCTCAAGAGTGAATTGAGCAGAGGTTGTAGAGAGGTATATCCTGAGAAGTGGTGACTCCAAGAGCAGAGGTTACTCTCGGAGCCTGAACCCCTTCCAAGAGACAGTGTAGCTCAAAGAGTGAAAGCACTCTTTTGAGGAGAGTTTAAGGGTGGTTACTCCCGTGACAAGGCGACTCCCGAAGCAGAGGTTACTTCTGGAGCCAGGGCTCCTTCCCAAAGACGAGATAGCTCAAGAGGGAGAGCTCTTTTCAAGCAGAGCAGAGAAGAGTAGACAAGCAAAATATTGCAGAGAGCAGAGCCGAGTATATCAGAGTATAGCAGAGCAGAGACAAGCAGAGTATTGCAGATTAGAGTAGAGACAGATAACTCAGAGCCAGAGTGTTTTGGACCCTTGTATATATATAGAGACATTTGCATTTGAGTTATTGGCCATAAAGGCTTTATTAAAGGACACTTTGAAATTTATTGTGATTATTGTGTGTTGAATAGATTGTTAAAAATCCTGTAATTGATTGTTTTGTATATTCCTGTGTTCTCCATCTCCTAGCTCAGTGACAGCCGAAGCACCAAACAAGCTCGGCGCCCGTGAGAAACACCTCCGAATCCCTTATCATCGCCACCAGACCTTCTCCGAGGGAGTACAGGTACTCGGCGGGAGTCTGGCGCGCGACAGTATTTTCAAATATTTAATCCTGTGTTTCCTATTACATTAACTTTTTCCTAGGAGTTGGAGCGAAGACCAGCAATGAAGCAGTAAGAGGGGATTTAGGCTGGATTCAACTAAAGGACAAACAGAAAATTGAATGTGTACGCCACCTTATTATACCCCAATAGACTGAACCATACGATGTACAAATGGTCGCTAAAAAGACGCTCAAGCTTGGATTCCAGAATACAGCAAATTATATATCTAGCAGGCCTTGGCAACATTTAAAGTCACATACTCCATGTAAACCCCTTGTGAGAAAAATTGAATAATTATTATCAAAAATAATAATCCATTTCTTAAAATTATTTGGAATGACCAACACAACCTAGTCGATGGCATTTCACTTAGTTTTGTTATCATTTTATAATGAGATCTATTTTACTCATTGGGCGATCTAATAGTAATTGAAGTTTTGGCGCGAAATGTGCCCTGCTTTGACGTCATTGATTTTCATCGACCAATCAGCGCAGCGGTCAAATGAGTACACTTTGGACTTTGGGGAAAGGTGAATTAGCATTTATTTATAGAACTATAAATTGCCAAGAATGCGGACTAATAGTGGTGTTCATTCGGTGTTTAATTGGTTGATAGAACAGTATACGGTAAATGGCCGAGCGCCGAATACATTGAAATTGCAAACGAGGAACGTTTCGGGTACTACGTTCGCCCTTGGTTCAAGCATGGAGTAGTCACCGAATATCATACTAATATTTACATGCCAAGACATCAATCATAGAAAAAATCCTAGCTGGTTTAGAATTTGGTCTCTTCAACCTAATGTTGAGACACAAAGGTATAACAACACACCTTTATTGGAAAGGAAGTGTAACATAGAAAAAATTAATGTGCAATATTATTCAACCAAAGTTGAGGTATTAAACAAATACTGGATGATCAGAAGCTGGATATGGCAGAATACCTATTCGGTAGTGAACTATTTGACAAGGCGGAAGCCGAGCCCAATATGTTTTCAAGGATAAGTATTCTGACCATAACAAGCTCCTGATCATCCATTATTTGTTTTATTATGCACCTTCAAAATAAATATTTTGAGTGTGCTACAATGTACTTACATTTTTAGAACTTTTGATTTTTCTTAACATTTGAACGACTTCGGCCTACCTATACACTAAACGAAAGAGTGAAGTCTTGTCCCGAGATTTCATTTACATTTCATTCATTTGTTTGAGGTGTTCTTGAAGAATTATGCGTAATGTTTGAATTATAGCCCTGAGGGTAATTGTGATTGATGAGGTACACTTTTTTTCTTCTATTAGCCACCAGTTTCTGATGTTAGCTTTAAATAGAACTCGAGTTATTGAGGAATTTTAACTCCTTAAGTGTAAGTGGGGAATGTTGCAAAACATTGAAAAAATATCTGACCCTTTTTCTCGAAAAAATATCCGGCAATTTTCAGAAAAGAGCAGAGTATTGCCAAATTACAAGCAACTTAGAACCAATCATAGTGCAGAAACTAAACGAGGTACATAATAATCTCACTTATTGTGCCTTGAAATCATGTTTACATTGTACGTCTGAAAATTGTTCACATTCTGCAAACTTACTCGTTTTCTATTGATCTATGTGTATTTATTTGATGTCTCGAAAGTCCATGTCGGCTGATTGGTTTTTAACACATGTATTTTAGTTGTAATATTTTAGTAAAAACCTGTGACACAGAAAAACAGTTATTAAACTAAACTATATATATTTGTTTCAGTAAAGGGTTAAACTTTGGTTAAGATGAGATCCCTTTGACTCTGATTGAAAAAACTAAATTAACGATCAAATACATTTTGTCTGGGTTTGAAATGAGAATAGAAAGTATGAAGCAAATTCTGCAAAACATGAACATAATTCTTACGGTTGAACTCAATTCTCTTGTAATTGGATGTAAAGGATCAATGGCAAACCAAACAGCAATTATAACGACATCTGCAACAACGAGCAGGAAAAATATGAAAACCAACCATACTTCCTTCACGGACTCCTGAAATATATATTTCATTTGTCTTTTTATATGGTAAACCTTTAATTCATAAAATGTAAATTTACATGAAATGGCTTGCCAATTGTTACTCTGATAATCATTTTTGAAGACTTTACTTACCGTTCTTTGCTGGCTGAATAACTTGTACACACCCCATGATTTTACAGTCATTCCTCCATAAAAGAACGTGAATCCAAAGATGAGAAGTCCAGTCGAAGCCTATGACGATGACATTAACGTTTTATTTATACATACTTTACTAAATGGCGACTGCTATGGACATTTTTGAAAGTCATTGCTATACCAAATACACTGTTCCACAACTGTTCCCCGTCAAAGTAACAAAATGAATGAACTTCCTGGTTACGAGTTTTTTGTTTTCTCGATTTAAATCTACTTTAATTTTAAGTCAAGTTGCAAATTATAATTTGGCACAAAGCTAGAAAATATAGTCTAGTTTTAATGAGTTTCTTCGATTTGTTTTTTTTTTGTAAATGAAGTTGCAATTCATATATTTAGCCAATCTCTTTTGTTACATTGACGAAAGTCCGTTATATAATCAATGTATGTTACTTTGACGACTTACGTCAATGTAACAAAAGCGATGGCCTAAATGCAGGAATTAAAGCTTTATTAAAAAATCAAATTCCAAATCGAGAGCATTTCTAAAAGCTAGAGTATATTGTTTAACTTGCTAAACTTTTAAGGTAATAATTAAAGTATTATTCAGCTGTGTGAGCAAAAAGAAGAATACAATATTTTATATATTGCATCTATCAAATTACTGATGAATATAAAAAATATGTGGGACGTTAAGGCATATAATTCACAGTTTGATTGTTACAATTGATAGTTTAATAATTTCAGAGTACAGAAGTTCCAGCCTCCTTTATATTGAGTAAATAAATATTTTGCCTACCAGGCATATATCTCTATGTAAAGGCTCCGGCTGCACACCAGTCTGTAGGTCAGCTATGTGAACCAATATATAGACGTCAAGTAGAATACAACCAATAATTATTACATATTTTACGTACCATGCATATATCTTTAAGTAAAGGCCCCGGCTGCACACCAGTCTGTAGGTCAGCTATGTGAACCAATACATAGACGTCAAGTAGAATACAACCAATAATTATCACACAGGTCATAATTGGCCATTCGTCTTTTATCATTCTGAAATATTGAATTAGCAAGGTACTGCATGGTCAAAGGCTAGATTGTTGCTGATAACAATTTATATAATAGAAATATTCTTTTTGACCCAACACCATTGAGACTAGGTGCAGATGTTATCCCCAGTTGTGAGAATCACAAACATCTAGGACTTAATCTTGACAAACACCTTAACTTCAATCACCATATTGATCAGATTATAAAAAGTTACTTCACTTCTAAGACACATTGTGCAAAATTCTAAATAATAGGCACTTAGAGATAATATACTATAAGTTAATCAATGATTCGAGTGAAATACAGAAAATATTCTTCCCGAGAAGGTTGTATTTCACGATGCGCTGTACAACCACTGTATATGATGTCTATAATCAACGCTAATAGTACTCCTACGTCACCAAATGAACCGCATATGTGATATCAGATCAACGCTAGTAATTCCTACGCCAGCAAATACAGAAAGTACTAAAGTAGTCTTATGAATTCGTCTATAATAATACTTACACGTGTTTCGTTGTACACAACCGCATACATACGATGCATAGCAACGCTAGTGGTATTCCTACGCCAGTAAATACAGAGAATACTATAGTAGTCTTATGAATTCGTCTATAATAATACTTACACTTCGTTGTACATAACCGCATTTATAATGTATACCGACGCTAGAAGTATTCCAACGCCGGCAAATGCAGAGAGTACGATTATAGAAGTCTTACTAATACGGCTATAATGATTATACTTACACGTGTCTGTTGTGCAGAGCCGCATATATGATGTATACAAAACCTAGTAGTATTCCTAGGCCAGCAAATACAGAGAGTACGATTATAGAAGTCTTACTAATACGTCTACGGACAACGTGTTCTATTTCAGAGTCGAGTGGTGTAGTTCCACCTAAAATGGTAGACAATTTAAATGAATAGGGCATTGATAAATGCAATGCTAGAAACCTAAAATTGATATTTTAATGAATATGAACGTCAAAACATATCTTCAGCAACTTCACACTCGTCTCAAACTGTTGTATAATCAAGCCAGCATTGGGCAGGATGGCTATGCTGAATATATTCTGTTGTTGTTTGTCAGTTCAAAATACAGAACATTAAACGTATTGCGAGACAATAACACACTACTATACCTTGCATTTGGTGTTCATGAGCAACCCATTTGGCTTATTAGTAATGATTATGTATTTGTTTTTATTTGTCTGTTCCTTATGAATGGTTTATCGGTTGAAAATTAGATGCTAGTAAGGCACTTTCAAAAATATATTAAACAATTCAATTAGACAAACAAAGTATCTTATGCATTTCTAGGTGTTAGGTATAGTAGTGTGAATAAGATAACGTGAAAAAGCAATAATGAATCACAATAATGGTTTGAATATATCGTACCTTTTGACTTCCAAATAACGGCAGGGGATTGTGTTATAGTAAGGTTACTTTCTTTTGCATCAAAATAACCAATTTTGATTAACGTCTTTTTTGCTGAAAGTATAATTAGCATATTCTGCAAGAAAAACAAGGAAAACACCGAGCATGGTACCGGATTGACCAATGAAAGAATGATTATCACAGCATCGAAGTAATAGTATGCATTATTAACGACATCAATTCTAATGTATACTAATGTAGGTTTTATGTAAAAGAGTGTCTTATAGCCAAGTTTTTGGGCATCCAACCGGAAAGCAAGGGGTCGTGAGTTAAATCCCATTTGGATGGACTGACACCCCTTAAAACAGAATTTAGTTCTGTATTTTCCAAATAAGTTAATAAAATAGAATAGTGCTATCATAGTTTATAAGCATATACAATTCACACCTCAAACTTACAGTCCCAAATTCCAACGTAGCTATCCGACTGTCTCGCCCCAGTTGTTTTGTTATAGTAATAACGACCCTAAAATGATGAATTTATTATACATAGGTAAAGGTACGGTTAACCTTGAAAGACTGGTAAAATAATATGAGATACAGGAAACTAGGCTCGTAAGACATTAAGGCAGAAATGCCACATAATGCAGTTTTATGTGAAATAATCTGTCCTGTAGCTCAATAGTAACCAATCCAACTTGGGCTGACAGACGCTCGCAACAGAAAAAAATTGTATTAGAATATATTATTCATATATGCCTGCAGCCTAGCCTTCGGATTTTCATGAAATAAATAAAAAGTTAAGACAATGTAGAGAGATTTCACTCATAAGTGAAAGCACAACTTATATTTTTGCGCATTGTGAATTCTTTGGGGTTTCACAAAAATTGTACTTATACGTATAGAAATGTATTTTCACCCATCAATTATAATGTTCTTTTCACCAAGGATAAATTATTTTCCCATCCAAATTTCCTTGATTATATGGTGGATTGGATAGTAATATGGCGTCATACCAAGTATCGCGATGATTTATTTCCAATATGAGATAAGTATTTCCTCACTAACAAACCACGTTTCATAAGCGATAGCTCCTAATAAATAGCTCCACAACAAATGATGACGTAAGACTTGCTTTATAAGTTATTAAATAAGGGGTTTATGAACACTATAAGTGCGTTTTGAAATCTCTCTAATATCACTTAAAACTTACTGAAACTCCTTGCAAATATACCCCGAGAAGATTGTCGTAAAGTGCATTGAGTAATTTCTTATTCTCGTTAGTACTATGCTTATAATTCTTGACTTCGTCCACGGTAAAAGTCTTCAGAGTTTCATTAATCGCCATTCCTATTGCCCAGACATTGTCATAGAGTGAAGCCTGATAAAGACTTTTAGCAAGCCCGGTTTTTGGCTTGAGAATACGTTCCAAATCTGCATATGTCTACAAAAAGTGTTCTGTATAATCGCAAGGAATATTCATATATATGCTACGTGAATATAAATTGAGAGTAAGAGAAATGTTTGTAAGAAAGCAATTTTAAAGATCTACATTCATTTGATGTGTTCATAATATAGACTGTGGACTACTCTGATAATTGCAACTTCCATTTTTCATGGAAGGTCACACATTCCAACATATTTCAAACAGTCTGTTTGATTATGCTAGGCACTTTCTGGGTAGTTGGACTTCATGTAGGGGTGGCAGACGGCCCTCAGGCCAATTCATACCCCCACCCTAAGAAAACCTTGGGGGTACTTTAATACCACCTGATAAAAAGAATACTAATGCATGTCATATATTCATAGTTTTATAGTATGCAGAGCATACCATGGTTAGTCAGTGCCAGAAATTTCCAATCTCTAACTTATATGGTTACCATGGAAACAGTATTTATATCTCAAAATCTTCTCAATTTGACCTCCTCCAAAATATGTCCCTTAGCCCTCAAAGTGAAATATTTGCAAATTTGTTTGGATTTTGTGGCTGCAACTTTGTCAAAAGTTGTATAAATATGTATATATTCACACTAAAGCACTAAAAAGTTGATATAATGCTCCAATAAATCAATAATATCTATCAAATATAGTCACACATAACTACTTTTAGGGAAAAGTGGGCGTGGCACTTTTTGGAACTTGTGTAATTGTTGCAGCATTAAGCAAAAAATACATATTACACTAACAATAATTGACATTTAATTATCATTTACTAACATTGTGTAACATTGTAATATGTTCATTATCATTATTAGATACTTAAATTATTTTATGTAAGTGTTATCATGAACTTTCCTTTTATCCCTATACCATACAAGGTGGGCATCACCAATGGTGTCAAACTAACTTTTCTGTTTAACTAATTTTTTACCATAGACAAGGGAAAAAGCTTTACTTGAAGTCGTGACCTCATTAGGTGCTATGTATATGGATAGATGGATTGATACTAGTCGGTAGATGGCAGCACTTGTGCTAGTTGGGCTAGATACAAGTATTTACCATTGACTTGACATGTGTCACTTAGTCTATTGATTTACCATATTCGTTCTGTTGGATTAAAGTAAAACTGCATTTGCATTGAATTTGATGATGTTCAGATTGTGTTTGAAACTTGATGATAATCAGAAGTGTTTGAAACTGGATGTTGTTCAGATTGTGTACACATGAACTTTAATAGGACCACTGAAACAATAAGTCAATGTTTAAGATTCTTTAAAATTATCTCAATGAGAATTTAGCCTGTTAACCTATATTTAAACTACACTTCAGCAAGATTTCGAAGCTATATAACAAATCTCATAATTTGCAACTTTTTCATTATTTGAAAATTTAACCCATTATTCTTTATTGCTGATTTAAAAATTGCAAGGAATTCAAATGACCTAGGGAAGCCAGTGATATGAATTGGCCTTATTCATTGAGTTACATTAAAATGGAAAATTGTGAAGAACAAGAGAACTGTTCCACGGCTTCACAGGAAATATGGAAGCAAAGTCAACAAGGGATGTGGGAACTAGGCTGTTCACATATAGAGATTTAGAACTCTCCAGGGAAGTGTCTCTATTTGGTATAAAATACACAGGTCTATTCATGCACACCATTTTAAATATGAATCCATGTTTCTGGTGAAAGCATTAATTGAAAGAGACAAACATCCTACATGGTTCTGAATTAGCCAATCAAATCACACGATTTATAGCAATGATGCAATAATTAGTGCTACTTCCATGAACACCCGTTTTGTAGAATAAGATTCTGATTCTCGTATTTGGTATATATATGAATTAGACAAAGGCAAATCCAGTCAAACATCTTGTTGAGCATCAAACAAAGGTACAAGCTATATATCATTTCTCAAAATGGCCACTTTACTGAAGAAATTGTCAAAATATTATATGTATCATGTTTTAATGTATTTACGTTTAAATATAGCTGTCTTAATAAGTACACATGATGAAAATACAGGCACAAACAAAATGCATACTTTCTGAAACCCTGCGTTTGGATATTGATAAATTGAATGATATTGGCTAAAAACTTCTGTCAGAATTGAAACAATATTTCCCCAAGAAAAGTCAACATTTCAAAACAACAGCAATAGCTAGAACTATCCTATTTAGATGTTTACTTGACAGTATGGAAAATTGGGGAAGCCTGACAGAGAATCATAACAGATAGAGGTAGAAAGATTTGATAAAGAAAATGGAGTTTTGGTGTGGGAGGGGGGGGGGGCGTGTAATTGTATACTTGTTTATAAAATTGATAAAATGACATATTCTAGACAAGGATAGACATTTGCCATAATAAACTATGAGGGATAATGACTCATAAACTTACACAATGGAGATTTGGGGTAGTAATATGGAACATACGTTATATGGAAACTGTAACCTTATAAGATCTTGTCCAGTATTTCAGTCATACCTGATTATAAAGGACCATTGATGTTACAGCATCAGGGCATATTACATATAATATTTAATCATGACCATCATTTCTACTGTGCCAAAATCATTCAACCAATTTTAAAATGGAATACGAGAACAAGATTTCTTATTTTAGGTTATATTCATATGTCTAATAATATTTGATATTAAACATATTAACTTTTATTGTTTTTATACACTAAACAGATTTGTTTAGATATTATTTTAAGTTTTAACATAACAAACCACTTTCCAGGTCGAAGGAATTACTAAAGGTACAGCATTTCAGAAATGTGTAAATTGTTTATATTTCATTATTTTGTGAAATCCTAAAAGGAGTTTTACCCGTACCTTGTTGACCATGAGTCAATGAATGCATTATGTAATATCTGCAAAATGATGCACTATGCAATTCATACATGGAATAATTTATTTTGCCATATTGGAATCAAGTATTTTCGTTAATCCATTGGATAGATCATGCATTACCTGATGTTGATAATAGAATCAGTTAGTCAATTGTAAGACACCATCTATCCGAGAAAATCTTAGTTATGTATTAAGGCAGGGCATAACATTTCACATATCGTTTATTCATGTTTACTACATCTATGGTTCCAATGTCATTTAAGCCTGATTTGGTGCAAATGTCAAAGCATAACATCAACTCTAAAGTAGTTTAATTCAATGAAAATCAAAAATATCAAAATCGACAATTACTGTCCGCCATCTTAGATGCGAAGGTTACGGCCGTTACCTTCACTTGGTACTGATCAGTGTAGGTCCATTACTTTTCAATTGCATAAAATGGCTCTAACCCTGACAAATGTATTAATCAATTTTAACTCATAGCTCTTGATCAATGAAACTATTTATATTCTAGCTTCAAGTCAATGAATACGACTTTGACAAGCTAAAAAGACTAAGGACCTCTAGGACTTAAAAGTTAATTTGACCATTAATGACCTATGATAGGGAAGGGTCATGATAACACTTATATAAAATATTTAAAGTATCTAATAATGATAATGAACATACTACAATGTTACACAATGTTAGTAGATGCTAATTAAATGTCAATTGTTGTTAGTGTAATAAGTATTTTTCATTTAATGCTGCAACAATTACACAAGTACCAAAAAGTGCCACGCCCACTTTTCCCTAAAAGCAGTTGTGTGTGACTACATTTGATAAATATTATTAATTTATGAGATCATTATATCAAGTTTTTAGTGCTTTAGTGTGAATACATACATATTAATTCAACTTTTGACAAAGCTGAAGCCACAAAATCCAAACAGATTTGCAAATATTTCACTTTGAGAACTTAAGGACACATTTGGGACGGGGTCAAATTGAGAAGATTGTGAGATATAAATACTGTTTCCATGGTAACCATATAAGTCAGAGATTGGAAATTTCTGGCACTGACTAACCATGGCATGCCCTACCCACTATAAAACGATGAATATCTGATATGCATTAGTATTATTTTTATTGGGTGGTATTAAAGTACCCCCAAGGTTTTGTTGGGGTAGGGGTATAAATTGGCCTGAGGGCCTTCTGCCACCCCTACATAAAGTCCAACTACCCAGAAAGTGTCTATTATAATCATACAAATTGTTTGAAATATGTTGGAATGTGTGACCTTCCATGAAAAGCGAGATCCATTTCTAGAGCACTTCTACAGAATAGTCCGCAGTCTATTATCAATAATATTATATGTCGCTTTCATCGGAAGTCTACAACAATGACACTGTCAACTATTTAAAGCATGAACCACAATGGGAAGGTTCCGTCAAAGAACGACAATGATTGGCTGAATTGTAATATATGCTTAATATCTCATTAAAATGATTCCACATTTTAATCTAATTTAACACTAAATCTGTTAATTTTCATTTGACAGTCGCCACTTTATCATTGGTTGAACATGGGCTGAAAAGTACATTGTGCAATTAAAATGACAGACCCTTTACCTCGTTTGTTGAAAAATGTCTGTGACTGGGATATATTCCAAGACTGAACGGAAGAAATTCAGAACAAAATATTGTTCCTTCGAGAACCTTCAAAGCTTGACTTGCTTTGCACCCGTGAATAGACTCATCAATGGAATCAAATTCTGTGAAAGGGTTGTAGTAGGCCAATAACACGTGATGTCGTCCATAAAGTCCAAGTTCATGTAGCTAGATGCAATATGATCATAAAAAATTATATATCAAGCAAAGTACTTCAATGTTTAAGAAACCATGCTTGATAGTGATAGTTGATAGTGTTTTATTATTAAAATTTTAATTTACTTCACTTTATTTTTCTAATTTTTTCTATATACGGATGTATGTCATGTTTCAATTAATAGTAGTATATTAAGGGAAAATGTGTCCATATTCTCCAATTTTCGGCTTTTCTCATAGAATTACGGAAAATACCGAGCGGTAACCAGTGCCTAAATCTAGGTTTGACTGTACCGACGGTGTACTATTGTTACGAGATGGCTGAGAGTGCGCCATCTATGGAACACCCTCGATTGTGCCCCCTCCCCATACATTGTGAGAAGGTGTTCGCGTCTACACGTTTATCGGTTGGAATTGTGAATTGTCAATCCACGACCCTCGCAAAAAGTGTTAGCCCTCGCAAATCAATTTGGGTTTGAAATAGGTTTAAAATTGAATATTTAGAAATAAGGACATATTATATATCAAATGAAAGACCATAATGCAAAGATTGACCATGTATAAATACTTACCATGGCCCTCGCAAAAAATGTAAGTCCCTCGCAAGGAGGATGTAGAGGAGAGGTATTGGGAGCTATAGCGTGTAGCATAACATGTAATACGTGACAAATAATGATAAATATCTAATCTACGCACGATGCGCTTTCGTTTGATTTACTACACACCTATATTTACTTATCTTAAATTTTTCACCTATTCCAAACCCCGACCCACAGGCCGTCCATAGACACGATATGGAAAAAAATCATCCGGGTACCTTTCCTACGTTTTCTATTCACAATCCAATTCATTTGATATACTACACAGCCATATTCTAGGCAACTTTACTTTTCACGATTTTTCTAATGTGCCCCCCCGGGGGCGCTGTCGGGTGACATTACCATCGTTATACATATCACTCGTGTTTGAATGGGTCGGGGGATTCCAGAAGTCGTCAACACAGTCAGAATGAGACAATAATGACCTCAGAATACAGATAGACAACCGATAAACGTGTAGACGCGAACACTTTTTCACAATGTATGGGGAGGGGGGCACAATCGAGGGTGTTCCATAGATGGCGCACTCTCAGCCATTTCGTAACGTTAGTATTCTTTCGGTACAGTCAAAACTACATTTAGGCACTCGCTACCGCTCAGTATTTTCCGTACTTCTACGAGAAAAGTCGAAAATTCTCCACAATAAACTTGATGCGAGTAGAAATAATCTTGATTTACGTCATTAAATATTCAAAATTCAGTCAAAGTGATGTCATATTTGAAATCTACATGTAAAAGTACATCTAGAAATATGGTTTCGAAAATTGTTTATCAACTTTGAAAATTTGATTTATTTTGAAAATGTGATTTCTAGTTCGGGTTGAATCCCCATAGACCCCATGTAACAAAGTCACAAAAAGTGAAATATCTTTTCTTGTAATCGACAAATATCATTTTCCTTTACTGGACATTTTTTAATTAGCATAACTATTAGATACATGAGGGTTATATGAAAATTGAACCACCAAAACAGATGTAATGTAAGTTAAAGGGAACTTTCTACCATACCCGCCATGCTATCTGACCCGAACGAGCCACCTGGTGGTGAAATTGGTAACTACGTACTCGCATCTGCGTTATTGTGGAGAAATACGGAATTATTAACCCTTAATGTACTACTATTAATCTTACCTTGCACAGCATTTTACCGAAGTCCCAAGTGTGAAGCACAAACGACACAATTATTCTAATCCCCTTTAATAAAAACAAATATGAATGATTGTATTTGTAGAAGTATAGGGGAATTGGTTAGACACTGTTTTTCGCATATTATTGGTTATTATTTTTCATATTAATACACACTAACTATACAAATTGCGCCAGAATACAAAAGAAAATGTTTCATTTTTGTTAAAAATACTAAAAAACTACATTTAAGCAAAGGGAAAATGTCAAGTCGTTTCTTTCACAAAGGTCGTCATGACGATTTGTTTTTGCTATTTTAGATAGATAGATAGATAATAATTTATACACATGTACACATCAAGCATTATCAATGAAGATATCGTGAAATAATAAAGCATGTTTTCCGTTACTGTAATCTATGTTATCAGCATGACCTTACAAGATCTTTATTTTTACCTTTAACCGTTTCCAAATAACCTCTGGTGAAGATCTATCAAACAGGACATCAGCATATGGTGTTATATTTCTTTCAGCTAGTTTCTTCATTAACACATTTGTACCCTTTTAAAAAGTACTATGGATGTAAAATTGTCCTTGAAGATGAACGCAAGAACTTATGAAGTGATCGGGACAGTATCAACTGGCGGATCTGGGGGGGGGGGGGGGGGGGCTGGGAGCCAAAAAGTGGGCCTTTTTGGTCTTTACTGGGCCTTGTAAGGCCTTATTTTTTAATTTCAGGCCAAAGCGGTATAGTCCGATGGATTTATTGCCCCCGAGAAATATGGCATAGTTTTACATGCTATTCTATTGTCACTGTTATTCGACAGCGTCTGTAACAATTCTTATAATTTCCAATAATGTGAATGTACCGTATATAAACATGTTATGCGTTCCAACACCTTTCTTCCAATATCTGTTACTATGGCATCACATAAGTGGACTTGTAACATTTTGTAATCATTTGCAATAATTAAAGAAGTGATGTCCGATTGACCTGAATATTTTGTCAACACAACACGTCACTGGGGGGTATCGTGATGCAACAACACCGTGTTGTTGCATCAAGATGGCCAGACTTCCGGTGATAGATTTTCGTACGATGTTTTGTTTTCCCAATTTACACCCATTTCTAGGACGAGTTGCTCAATAATCATACACATGCAGTTAGCACATGATCTTTATTTAAAAAAACTGTCATTGGTATACATGTAGCATCATCAAGAAGCGATAAATTCGTGGTTTTAATTCCTCACTATTGATGCAACAACACCACTCTGTTTCTTATCGATGATGCAACAACACCAATGTGCTGATGCAAAAACGCCAATATAATGTATCATTGAACAACAAGAGAAACTGTTTTATGTTCTGTTTACAGGTGTAGGTCGGGACATGAATAAAACGCGTGGGTCAGTGGTCCATGAAAGAAACGTATTTTGTTTGGTTTCTTTGTCTATATCAAAGTTAAAAGGATATACAAGGCAAACTAAATAAAGTACAGAATCCCCGGGAGGTAATCTCATTGATATTGTATCTGAAAAATAAAGATTATACATTTTCTAAATTAAATGCCCTTGATTTACCGTATGGAAATTGCTTACAAATAACTAATATAATTTTGGAAAGACAACAATTTGTGTTGTTAGTACCTCAATTGAAATACTCAATTCTGATTGGTTGATGAGCGGTCAACAAAATGCATTGTTAGTACCTCAACTGAAATACTCGATTCTGATTGGGTGATTAGCAGTCAAAATTATGTACTGTTGACCGCTACTAAGTACTGTTGACCGCTACTAGGTACTGTTGACCGCTACTTCTGAAAAAAAAGTTTCATGACGTCACAAAAAACATGTAAGACGGACATCTTGTAAACGTTGATGAAAATGACTTTACTAGGCGACAAGTATAGCAAAAATACAAATAGAAACTTAAAATTAACATTAATTCACTAACGAGTACGCTGTGATGTGCCAAATACAGAGTTAAGCTACTTGCACTGTCTCCAGATTTTCTAAAAAAATATTGCTAACGTGGTTCGGAGAAAAGGTTGTGGAATGAAGCCATGCCGATTGATGATTGTCGTCTATATGTGTATTATTAGTTTACTCGGACTAACAAAACAATTGTTGACCTCTCCATTCGATCAACCGTCAAAATCATATACCTCGACTGTAAACCTTGAAACTACTGTTGACCTCGACCTTCGGTCTCTGTCAACAGTAGTTTTTCGGTTTACAGTCTCGGTATACAATTTTGCCGGTTGACCTCTGGGGAGGTCAACAATTGTAAACTGTTGACCACAACTAGGTACTGTTGACCCCTATTTTTGAAAAACTGTTTTTTTAATGTTAAAATTTTTTTAATTTTGAAAAAATAAGTTGTGTAAAAAATTACAAGTATTCGACGGTTTGGGGATTTTTGCTAAAATATGATACCTTTACTTACCAAATATGTTCACGTGATATTCGATTATATATTCGTCCAATTATTATATTATTTGGACTAACAGAACAATTGTTAACCTCTCTTTTCGGTCAACTGGCAAAAGTGTCCTCGACCTCTGGTCTTGATCAACAGTACTTTCAAGGTTTACAGTATCGGTATACAATTTTGCCAGTTGACCTTAAGAGAGGTCTACAATTGTATATTATATCCTTCAAATTATTATATTCTTCGGACTAACAAACAATTGTTAACCCCTCTATTCGGTAAACTGGCCAAAGTGTATACCTCAATAGTAAACCCTGAGAGTACTGTTGACCTCGACCTCCGAACTTTCAAGGATTATAGTATCGGTATACAATTTTGCCAGTTGACCTCAAGAGAGGTCTACAATTGTATATTGTATATCCTTTGTTATCCCACCCAAAGTATGATGTCATATATCAAGTTGAAGAGTTGTATACGCTGCTCAGGAGTTTACGCTATCCAGGAGTTGTACATCGTTCTCAAGAGTTGTATAGGATGAGTGTTGGTTTAATGATATTGCAGTTATACAATGCTATTATATAAAGGTTATTTACTGAGAGGGATTCAATATTGGTTTTATTCCGAGAGACAATATGACAGTTCCCGAGGGCCCGGGATATCTGGGATAACTGTACCCCTATCAATTTACCTTTTTGGGCCCTTAATCTTATCACTTTTGTTTACCTTTTTACTCTGTCGGAGAGAAGGAATCCAAAGAGAGCAATAATTCTACACGTGCGTCGTGCAAGATTTCTATTAAACGTGTAACTAAACGGCCTCTCTAATAAAGTCAATTAGACGTTTTTACACGTTGGCTCTCCAAATTGGAGGAAATAAAGAATCATATCATATTATATCATAGATGAAGCAATCATCCCATCAACATGCTTTTTGAACTGTTTTAGTTATAATTTGATAAACAGTGGTAACGTACATCTACTAGTTTATCACTGTTCCACAGATGGATGACAAATAATTCCCAATAGCTCATCATGTTTACCGAGAACGAAAGATGTTTGTCCACCATTTTGAATGATACTAACTGGAGTCAGGGTCATCAAGCTATGGATTAACAGTGGTTTATGAAAATAGATTGGGTTACTAAAGCTTGCCATGTTAAAGGCGATTGAACTATGTTATAGAACAACATCCAGTACATTAAAATATTTAAAAGTATAAATTTTTGAAAATACATATAGAGGATCTTCGCCCACAGGACGTGTATTTTGAATGCCTTGAGAAGAACGCAAATATGGGTAATGGGTAACGGTGTTGCAAAAGTAGCATTTAAAAATCTGTTCCTCTCGAGATTTATGGTCTTCTGAAATTATACTATTAATTGGTGTTGCTGTATCATTGCTCAAATCTAGAGGAGTGTTGTTGCATCTTCGGTTTGGTGTTGTTGCATCAATAGTGAGGAACTAAAACCGTGAACTTATTGCTTCTTGGTGATGGTTCATGTATACTAACGACAGTTTCTTTAAATATAGATTGTGCGCTAACTGCAAGTGTATGGTTATTGAGCAACTCGTCCTAGAAATGGGTTTAATTGGGGAAACAAAATATCGTACGAAAATCTATCACCGGAAGTCTGGCCATCTTGATGCAACAACACGGTGTTGTTGCATCACGATACTCCCCAGTGACACGTGCTACGACTTTATAAATACTCTTGGCAGTTTCGTTAAATACGTGTCATCATGGGAAAAGATTAGGGGTGGCCAACGTTTGGTTCTGTAACTATCATAACACTTTGTCACCGTTTTGCAATAGCTTACTTTGGTGGTGACACCCATATACTAAATACAGTGTTTGAAGCTGTTGAATTTCGATATGCAATTAGCTAACCTTTGACATCACGCTATGATTGAATGTTACCAGTCCTATTTTGTTCCACCCAAATCGTTGTATAATCAAATCGAAAACTATAGCAACGTCTGAAACTCCAGCAAGTGTCATGGTGAAGTACTTATACCTCTCAGCGTCATAAGGCGATTGTAGAGAAACGTGATTCTAAAAGGTAAAAAAAGATGACAGTTTGTTATGTCAACGTGTTCCATTATGAATTTTATCGTCGATCACATACTCGTAATGACTGGTAGGAATCAAGTAGCACTCTCTTGTAAGAACAGCTTTTATTCGTACATTTCACCGCACGATCCAGCAAAATCGCACTCTCGGGTACAAATTACACATAGGTAGGTCATAAAACTGAATATAAATCACAATTTACAATAATAATCCCATCCTTTTATGGTTTCTCCATACACTGGCTCACGGTTCAAAATAATCATAAAACTATTTTTTGAATTACTTCCCCCATATACCACGTATGATTAAGAAGCTGCTATGAATACTTATTCTATACTCATCACTCTCTATCATAAGACACAACGCACATTTCTTCAGTTTCAAGAAATGAGAGCGCTTGGCACGCGTGTTTATTAATGAACATAGTACAACAGTTACATAAATAATGAGAACATGACAATGTATACGCATACAGTGAGTGAGTTCGTGAATGTCACTAGAAAATACAAAACAGTATAACTGCACAATGTATGACAATTCGATTGACACCATTAAAACCTCATCCAATTAATTAGGATTTATGAGGACTCTTAAACAAAGCAAAGACCCAAATTATCGAGGCCGAAATTCAAAAAAGGTCTTTGCAGAGATAAAAAGGTATGCCAATCAAAATATCAATTTGTACGATCAATACTGACAAAATTTATGAAACATACAGAAATAATACTAGATAATGGCAACTCCGCGGAGTAGCAAATCCAAACGAACAAAATATCAAGTACCGAATTCCAATCAATTATACTCATTACATTGGTTAAAATTGAAAAATTTTAATATTAGAATTGTGAATTCCTGCAAAGCAGCCATTTTGAATTTTCTAAGGTACAAATCTGAAAAATAATACCATAATTGTGATCTACTCCAAAATTCCTTCAATTTGAGTATAATATAGACATACCGTTGAAGGGATTGAAAAATTGTTGCGAAATCGTACATTAGGCAGCCATCTTGAATTTTACGAGGCTCGAATCAGAAAAAAGATACAATATTTGCAATCTACTCTTAATTGCCTTTCATTTGAGTATAATAAAGCTATACTTCAGAAAGATCTAAAAATTAGCGAAAATTTCTGTTTTCCTGACCCCCCCCCCATACACGGCCCCTGGGGGTAAGGATGAAAAACACAGAATATATGTGAAATAGATAGATGTTGCGAATATACTACCAAAATTTCAAACAATAATATTAATTACTTTGGTTTAGAATGAAAAATTTATGATTTTTGCGAAAAAGTCCCGTCATTTTTAATTTTTTTTTGCGTAAAACTATTCATCGATATACATCTTTCCACCAAATATGAAGAAAATCCGTCAACTAATATTTGAGTTATCTTCCGGACGGACGGACGGACGGACGGACTGACGGACGGACGGACGGACTGACGGACAGACGGACGGACGGACGGACGGACGGAGGGCTTCACTATATCCCTACCGAACTTCGTTCGTTGGGATAATAATCTACAAATTCGGAGTTAAGTGTATTCCTCGCACGCTGGCAAGCCTCAGAATGACGTGTTCCTAACACTTACTCACTCACTCCAAACACAAATAACCGCCAAACCGTTCAGCCAATAGAAATCATTTATGTTCTCAAGTCGCTACACTGCGTTCCGCTCCACCGAACATAAATAGCTAAGATAATATCCTTGGTTTCGTTCATATGATATTTTCTACCCATTCGAAGGTAAACATAACTTAACAAGAATCACCACTGTTTATTTGTGACGTTTCTGCAGATTATCGGTATATGTCCCAACAGAGGGCGCAATACAGAAAACCTAAACCTGTAAAGTGTGGTGCGCTAAACGCGGGGCTAAACGATTTTAACAGAAACTTTAAAGTCAAACTAATGCTGGTAAAATAAATGTATATTCCTATACATTTGATCAGTTTAGCAGTAAAATTGGTCAAATTTTACGTCAATCGAGGAATGAGGATATAACTGGAACTGTGAATGTTAGAATGGACAATTTGTGTGCAGTCTCAGGAACAACCTAGACATAATGTAAGTACCCTAAAACACAGAAGGCATTAAAGATATGCTATACAGATATGTAGGTCAGTATTACATAATCGTGAAATGAATAAGTCTGAATATATCATTGGTCAGAAAACACTAAAACCTGCTTGAAACTGTAAAAGTTTATACACTCTATTCCACACTGTATAGAAATAAAATAACTTACACTATAAGTAACTGTGAGCCAATCATTGCATAGAATAAACTTTATGCACTGTTAATAAGATTCACTGAGACAAGTGGGACAATACTTCGTGTTCTTTATGTGCTCTCACACAATTACCTTCCCTTGCATAAAGTTGCTGTACAGTTATATGTAACTGAATATTGTATATTCATCACAAACAACCTTAGCAAAATGATGGTTCGACGAAATGAACGGTTCGCTAAAACCAATAAACCAGGCAATTCAGGCCAATTTGGAAAGAAACTAGATAGCGAATGAGGATAGTAAGTGAAACATATTTTGCAAAGGTCAGCTTGTAAACTACTGGGTAACCCTAAATGATGAGAAATATGTACAAAATATGTTTTGCATGATTTATTCATATCCCAATGATTTAACTCCTTCACTGCATCTAATAAGGTATATAGATACTAATTACGGGACATTTAGGAATTAAGTGACTAGACCAAAGCAAGCATGTTTGAGATTTTAATGATTTTAAATAAATTACCACTTCATTATTTGCTTTTAGACATTCAATCAGTTTTATTTGTCCAACAAACCATATTCACAATTGTTCAATCCAACGAAGATTAGGGGATAAGCTATAGAGACCCCTCCATTTGTCCGTCCATCCATCCTTCAACTAGACAACAGCAACACCAAAGTGTAGCAAATCCCATCGAACAGCCATGGCTGGCATTTTTTTACAAACAAAGTATACAGCAAAAATAACAGCCATTTTTCAAAATGGCCACCTTCTACCAAAAGTGTCATTAGACAGTGTGCCACGCTTATAGTATTCACGCATCAAATATGAACAAAATCGCTCTACTACTTTTCGAGTTATAGTAAAATACGTTAAAATGACGGCCATTTTTCAAAATGGCTGCCTTCTACCAAAAGTGTCATTAGACAATGTGCCATGCTTATAGTATTCACATACCAAATATGAACAAAATTGCTCCACTACTTTTCGTGTTATTAATAAAATACGTTAAAATGGCCGCCTTCTACCAGAAGAGTCATTAGACAGTGTGCCATGCTTATAGTATTTATATACCAAATATGAACAAAATCGCTCCACTACTTTTCGAGTTACAGCAAAAAATCGTAAAATAACGAGTAAAGGCCGCCATAGTTCAATTCTTTGAAGCAAATGATTCTAAAAGTACAACATATCTTTGAAAAAATATCATTCTGTTAAGTGAACTTGTAAAAAATATTTTGCAATGTGTGAAATTGAATTAAAGCACATGATTCAATGAATAGTGGATGCTTCAATTCACTTATGTCTTCTAGTCTAGGCTTTGAATTCGGACTACCACCCTCGTTCATAGTCTAGAATCAGGACATATGTTAAATTTAATCATCTACAATGCATTGAGTCATTGGCTTAAATCCTATAATATAATATGCCTATCAATATAATATGTAATTATTTAAGTATCATCTCAATGCTTTAATTTTAATAGAATTATTTTAATATTTTACTAACTGTATAATATGTAGTTTGCATTACTGTTGATAAATAAATAAATGATTGTACTGTTCAGTAAAGAAATATAGCAATTGTATTATTTAAACTGACTATACACTATAGAAATGATTTTCATTGAAAAATCAAATCAGTACCAAAATTATGGTTACCCTGTAGTAGTGAAAGGCACATTAGAAATGAATATCACCCCCTTCAATCTATTTTTACAGGTTTTTATGATTATTTCAGATTTTTCTATAGTTTGCGTAACCAGGACGGTGAATTTTCTTCATTTTTCATCAAACATTTCGTCTTACCAATATTTATTATATCTGTCAATTTTATCAAAATCGCGCCGCTACGTTTGAAAATAATTCAAATTATGTAGTTTTTCCCATTGAGCTCCATAATGAAAATGGAATTTTCAAACTTAATATTTTAAAATTCTACGTGGTGAAAAGTTGCATATTGAGTAGTTAGTTAATGTTATGGTGTTAAAAATTAAAAACAAAAAGGAATAAAGAAAAAATGCCACGGAGAAGTCTCAATAGAGTCTCTTTAAACACATTAGGCTAGCTGAATATACATAAAGAATAAGCTAGGTCGATGCTCTTACAAGATAAAGCCTTCGTTTTGACAAAATCTGTAGATTCTTAATGCCTTGGTCACATAGGCTCCGATTTTCACTACGGCGCCCGGCCGATGAGTATTTTGTACAAAATCGGCCGGCGAGCCCGGGCATCGTACGGGCGCCGGGCGATGATCGCCCATCATCGGCCGATTTTTAGACATCGTACGGGCGCCGGTGTAAAAGGGTAGGAGGTCCTATCAAATTATGGTCCTACTCTCCATTGATTTATATGGTGACCTAAATACAACTATTTCCCTCATTATCTTATACGCAATCAGGGCCAGTAAGGGCCGTTAAGAAAGGGGACCATAATCCCTGGGGGACCATCATTTCTTTCACACCGGCAGTGTTTTATCGCGGAGATAAAAGTTGCCGATGTCTTGGCGATTTTTTCTCAACCAACCTCATCGGTACCTACCCGGCCGTGTCCCGTCCGGTCATCGTACGATTATCTCGCGGCGCCCGGTGGCATCGCACGGTACTGATTTGTTTGATAAATAATGATTACTTATAAAGTGATATAAAGGTTTGAAAAAATAATGAGGTAAGGAATTATAATTACTACACATACACACACATTTTTTTATAAAACATAAATGGAACGATTAAGCTTATACAATAAAACAATGACACACATTTGAATGGTTGGGTGGGTGAGTTGATCTAGTCATTCTTAGCTTATATGGACATTAATCGTGTATGTCTGTCATACTCTTTGAATAGAGTGATACATTTTTATCTGTATATTCACTCATGCATATACCATTACAAATCATTTATTTTAAAAATTCTTCTGAATGTCTATCGAAGTATTTCGTTTTTAAATGTTGCATTCACGCCATGTGGAACAGTCATACTGGGTCATACAGGGATTTAGTATAAATCTAGAAGTGGCCTGTAGATCGACCGATGTCCTGGCGGGTGCCGTACGGCCATCGGCAGATAGCCTTGCGATACCCGTGCGATGTCTTTCAGATTCAATAGATTGCGGGCGCCGTACGGTGCCTATACTAATGTGATCATACTCACGATTAGATCAAGACATCGGTGAAAAGTCACCGGCGCCCGGTCGATTTAGAAATCGGCCGATGACTACTCATTGGCCGGCGCCCGGCGCCTATGTGACCCAGGCATTACTGGATTGTATGGTGAAATGTAAAAAATAGCGGTTCTTGCAGAAGAGTGCTATTTAATTCCTACCTTACTTTAAGTTTGCAATAAAAGGTTACTCACATTTTGTAATGATGTGTATCAGAGGTTCGTTTTTTGTATGATCGTTTTGCATTGTCTTCCTTTTAACTAACAATGACTTGCGAGTTAAAAAGGTTAAAAAAGAACCCTAGGGGGTAGCCAAAATTTACCGAGGGGGGGGGTATATTTTCGATCTCCCAAAGAAAGGGGTTGTTCCCGGTCGGGGGGCTCATTTTAAAAGATGGGTTCGAGGCGAAGGGGAAAGGGGATTCGCACGAGCCCCATGAACCCTCTAATCTGTCGCAATGCCCAAGTGTATATCACATGTGTTTTCCGGATGGCCTTTGATTGTATTGTTTTTATATGGGGTTATTATTGGTGAGTATGAGTTTGATTTATAATGAAAGGTGCTTTAACTTTAAACTGTTGAACGTATGCTACATACCACAATACATCCCCATACAGCACAAACCGGTATTGTTGCCTCTTGTCCAGCAAAACCGCTCAATATAAACGGCGCATCACGACCTCGAATATAATCCCACAACTTGCTGTTTGCAGTCGCCATGGAACTGTCCTAAATTACAAATCACCCAAAAAATGTTTTCACTTTCCATTCATTCATTTAATGATAAGGGTTGCTGCAATGTGATTATAGCAGAGATTAACAATGGGAATGCAGATTTACCCAAATTCATAGGAAAATGTATACGAAATACTCCATTACATCGAGGTGAATACATTTTCATTTTTCACTCAGTATGTTTCCCACAGCCCTAAGGGCAAGGGAAATATTTCAAGGGAAAGATGAATATGTATTCACCGAAAATAACATTTAATATTTGATTTATCATATCATTGGAATGTTCTTACTTTACTTATAAAATATACTAAACAGGTGTATCTTGAAAATATCTGGTTGAATAAAAATTCTCACGGGTTTTTCATTACTCTGCTGTCTAAGGATTCAAGTTATGTTGTTCTTGGAGCCGATATGTCCATAATACTCCGGCAGCGTTTCTCGTTTCTAAAATACGAGTAAAATCGGTATACATTCGCGTGTGTAAAATTGATGTGGGTGACGGGGACCACACGCACTATTTTTGATCATATGATCAATTCTTATCCAATGAGAAAGCGAGAAACTTCCAATGATGTGATAGATGCATTTACACAATCGCCTTCTAGAAATTAAAATAAAATATGTCAACAAATGAAACACTTTAGAACGAGAAATGAAGGAATAAGCAGACATTGATGTAATAAATTGAAATCTGTTTGTCTCTGGCAACAAGATATTAGTCCCTGTTATATAGCAGGGTAAAATAGTTTTGTTACGAAGCATTTTGACAAAAAAGCCTATAACGAAGCAAGTTTGTGTCTATGTATATATAGAATGTTGCCTGCTTCATCATTCGTATTTTACAATGTATATTTATGCTTGTTACGTGAGTATTTTTATTTTATTTCTATCTATTTTTATTGTTTGCATTTATTGGTTTATTTAATTTGTTTATGTACGTGCTTTATACTGAAATACATTTAAAAGTCCTTAAAAACATTTGTTAATGACATTTTGTATATTCCTCTGCAAATAAGTTTAACCCTTTCCCGACGTGAATATAAGAGGAAAATGTTGTCCCCAGTGACGGATAAGTAAGAGTGTTTTTAGGGGAAAACTGCAAAATACCTATGCCCTGGGACCTATACCTTGGATTTCATCACTGATATGCAATTTTTAGTAAGGATTATCACATAAGAACAACTTGTCAAAATTTGGTGTAAAAATACTGAATAGAACTGGAGATATTGTCATTTCATTGATGTATATAAATAAAAATAATGGTGCCAAAAGGAGCCTATCGTCCTGAAAGGTATTACATAATAGGGCTCCATATGGAGCCTATCATCGTGAAAGGGTTAAGTTCATTTTGTACCTATATCCTCAGCTGTATCATTTTTTCTGCAAATACATGACTTTTATATTTCATTCTCAAATAGACATAGTCAAGACACGGTCATCGCCCTTCCCCTACACATACACACACTTAAAAGACTCGTGTCACGTGACCCATGCCTCGATACTTGCAGTTTAAAATAACAAGCAACTTGTATGAAAGGTCTATTTGAGGTATGACAAGCGATTCTAGACGATCATATCTTTCACCATGAGTGCTTTCTGGGCTTAAATACTTTTTTTATCATAAGAATATGTTTTAAGTGACACTAAACTCAATAGGGGTCAAACATCTACTTTTTGAAATAATTTGTCATTTGTGACACTATCCCCTCTCTCGCTGTTGCAAAGAATTGAAATTCACAAAATAAAGCCAAAGTTATACGCCATTGATAGTCATTCAGCATATTTAATTTCCTTTTCAAAATGTTTTATTTCATGAAGATCAAGTCATCAGTGACGAGTTAATGGATTTTTAAAGGTAAAGCACATTTAACCAGCAAGTTCCGTTCTAATTATTTAAACACATTCGATTAGATTTTTTACCTACCTTTTTGAAAAACCAATGCTTTGTTGAAGGGGTAATTGAATAAGGTTTTCAAAATATTATTGAAATCAGACTATCAGTTTTTAATGGCGTCTTCGGGTTATACAAATGTTGCAGATATATTGATACAGCGAGAAATGTTTACTTACTGGTGAACATTGGTCCAGTTCAAGTGTAAATAAGGGAAACAACTCAGTGGCATTGTTGACATCAAACACTGTCTGGTGTGCGCAGTTGCACGCGTCAAAAGATTATTTACCTATAGATAGAAATGCTTACTTACTGGTAAACATGGATCCAGTTCCAGTCTAAATAAGGGAAACAAGTCAATGGCATTGTTGACATCCAAAACTGCCTGCTGTGCGAACTTACATGCGTCATCAAGGAATTTATATGTGCTAAACATAAGATTCCCTATCAGTATAGCAGGCCGTTGGTCCGGGTCGTCATTTATTGGCGTTGGAGTATTGATATCAAAAGATGTAGCGTTGTCCACGGAAGGCGTATTGTAATCAATTGTTGATGTTGCATCAGTTATTCCAATTGTGGTTAACAGCCTTATACAAAGAATAATTATGTAAAAATTGACGGTCATAATGGCTTCTATCTCACTATTATAGCCTTGCTGCTATTCAACTTAGTATTTATCGGTAAATTATAACGTAAAACACGAATTTCTAGGATTGTATTATGTTATGCTACTAGCCGGAACATGTTTTATCTAATATATTTTTATCTTATCATCGCTATATCTTATTAACATACACCGGGTGATAATTTGAGAAAGGAGCAGGGAAAGTATCGCAACAGATTTCAGACAGTCATACGTTAGATTTTGCCTATTTTCTGAGGACACAGGTGCATATGTTAGGCCAATGCATTATCTCCATGAAAAGCATTCATAGAGATAATAAAATAATTTCGACTTTGAGACAGGGGAGATGCAAACAACCCACCGACATGTTTTTTCTGAAATGTTGTCTTGGTTTTCAACCCATTCCACCCCTGCTTTTTCAATTTTTGTTGCATCAATATGCGTTTTAAGACACATTTAACCCCTATAAAGGAATACGTAATTCCTCTTCGATAAAGTGGAAAACAATATTTCCCATGTTATTTTCCACAGGGAAAACTCATGCGATCCCTTGCTTTCAGCTTATTTTGGTCATCCATAATGGATATCTTTAAAATCACTGAAGGAATTACTTATGGGTATGGGTACTAATGGGGTAAATTGTGTGTCAAAACATAAATATATGACTGTCCGAAATCTGTTACTTTCCCTCCTCCTTTCTTGGAAATTGTGTTTTGTTTATCGGTGTAAAATCATCATTGAGTTCACAGGAAAACACTGTCCCTGAACATCGTGCCTCTTAGCTGCCAATACATCCTTGACATTCACAAACACGGTGAATATAAGCATTTACAACCTTTCCATACATACCGAGATAAATCCAGAATAACTCTATGAATGATAAAAAAATATTTCTTAGAAATATTTATTTGACATATACTTTAATTTAATATCTTAGAGATCTTCAAGTACCACTCGTTTACCCTTTGTGTCTAAAAAGAGAGCTTCTTCTTATGATAGTTTACAACTAGACTCTGCGCACAGGGCACCATTATTTGTTACTTGACATGTACACTAATTATTTTTAAGTAAAAATGTTATAATACCGCCACAAAGATTTTAGTGCTGAACATCTACAAACCGAAACACCGGTAACGTCAAATACCATTGTCACAAATTACGGACTTAACCGTCGCTTTAATCCATTGGTTCTCAATTTATTTTACGTTATCATCGCTAATTAACTGGAAAAAATAAATAAAGAGTATTTATTATAAAAAAAACTGGAAAAAAGTCACACAGCCTTAGAGCCCTGACACAGCAAATATTGTTCGCCTCGAGTAGAAAAGCAATTTAATTTAATTCATGAGCTGATTTTTCTAAGAGCTCTAGAGGAGTTGGTTGTCCAGGTGTCCGCCACAAAAAAACAATGTTATGTAACATTTGTCTGGTTACAGGTGCTTTTATTAGTACTTACAAACGGAGAATTTCAGCAAGAATGCAATGACTTAACACGGGGATGTGCACTATTGACTTAACATTTGGATATCGTCATATTCTTTAGCCATCATAGATATTTATTTGTGTAATGTGTTTGACACCCTGTACCTTTATACATGTTACATTACCACTTTTCATGCATTGGAAAGTGTTTTTCATTACTTTAAATGTACTGACACCAACACATTCAGTCAAGTCAAGTAACTTAGTCAACATTCGAAATTCGTATGTTCATCAATATTAACTAAGAATGGTGCCACAGTTGAAGTAAACCCCTGGTTAATTATTTTCAATATACCTTACAGCAAACGTGCAAATGATAATTTTGATGTTCTGTTACATATTGGTGAAGCAATCTTGGGGATATGGCCTAAATTTCTGAATTTCCACTATGTCCCTGTATACCCCTACTTCAGAAGATGTATGTTATTTGTCATTTTTCATATTATAAACCAATCATAAATGTATTTTTTCTTGTTTACATAAAGAATAAACTTTCTGTTTTCGAATATTGACAGATGGTATTGCATTTATTTTTTCATGATATGGAGCAAACAAATGCGTGTCAATTTACACTGTAATATTCTACATACTAATATTTCAAGGGTAGTTTTGAAGAATAATCAAGAAAATCCATGTTTTCAAATGAATTCATCCTTGACAAATAACGTAATTGAGGATATGCGGTTTAAAAAACTAAAAACATGTTTCAAATTCTTACAATGCTTGGTTAAAACAAATATTTTGGAAGTTGTGGTTTCGAATGTAATGAAAATTGTTGTTATTCGTGATTTTTTTCTTTCGGAATACACATTGCTAGATCACAGAACCTTGCCTTGTTCGAGATGCACGAAAAGTGTATTGTTAATACTTGACGTCGTTCGGATATTTGGATGTGATTGACGTTTTCGGTAATATCCCACCACTGTAACTTCCAACTTAATTTTTGAAAGCCAGATATGATGGCCACGAATTGATATTAAATATATTTGAATATCTACAGTTTAACTCAAATCATCGATGCTCGAAATGGTTTATTGTTTACTTTTGTCGAGGAATTGAACTGATGGAATTGCCCTTGCAATTGTTTATTTATTTTTCTAATATCTCACTATTAATCTTTATACTGGGGTGTATTGCATAATAAACTCTTACATTGCAATTGCTATTTCACTTTTCATGAGGAAATGTGTTGATCAAATTGCTTTTTCTTTTATTTCTCCAGGAAATGTTTCTGATCAGATTGCCCTTGCAATTTGTTCTTCACTTTTCCCCAGGAAATGTTTTGATCAAATTGCCCTTGCAATTATTTTTCATGTTACTTCTCGGGAAATGTTTTTGATCAAATTGCCCTTGCAATTGTTGTTTGCTTTTCTCGAGGAAATGAATTGATCAAATTGCCCTTGCAAATGTTTATTTATTT